CGACAAAACTAAAATTTCTAGGTATTTGCTTTATTACCTTTCAAATATTTACTGTTGCTTGGCCCCAAAATGGCCCTATACAATTTATCCAGTGTATCTATTAGGACTCCAATAATGTTAATCATTTACATATAAAGAGGGGAAAGGGATGAATATCCTAATCATGAACTAGAGACATTATGGCTAATTTATTAAAGGGAAGGTTACACTGCTATGGGAACTTAGCTTTGAATAAAATGCAATGTATCTGCAATTGTCTTTTTTTTTTACATTTTATTAAAACCTGCTTTATACGTTCAACTGCTTACAGGCATAACTTCTGCAAGTGTCAATATTTGAGCTTTAAAAATAAATATACACATGCTCAGTTTTGTAAGTAAACCTGTAAAATACCTAGAAAGGCAAATGTTCAGTTTAATTAGCACTGGGACTTTACAATATAATGCTTAGTATTTCTGAGGAGTTATTAACACGAAAGCAAATCATAGGCTTTGTGAAAAATGGTATGTCACTACTCAGATTATGCTGGGTGAATTACCTTGCCCAGTAAAAAGCAAAATGTTAAAGAACTTCCTGATTCTATAATCATATTATATGCACTAAACCGTATGCATGAAAGTTCTTTGCATGGATTAAAGGGGCTTAGCCTTGTTGCACTCAGAATCTGAGGTATATCTAGCCCTGCCACTACTGGCTACTTACCCTCGTTACTATCCCACTTCAGAAAAATTGTGAGAACATACCATGTGTATTGATCTATCTGTAAAAAGGGAGAAAACATGCTTCTCTTTCTTTTTTGGGATGGGGATGGTCCTTTAGCTCTATTTGGACATCTGACGTTGTACAAAATTCTAATTTAATTTTCTGGTCAGCAGGTTCCCCATATAGAAATCACTTTGAGATTTACAGAAGAAATATGATATCATTTTAAAATTTTCTGTTACTATTTCTGTTACTATGTCCACAATGTATTTCAAGGTTAAGTTCTAATCTTAAAATGTTAGTGGGAAGTATCAAAAAATTCTTTTCGATTACTACTACCTGTATTCTATTAGGGAGTTTGGACTTTTTTGTCCAAGAGTATCAGATTCATCATGGAAATGGATCATTTCTTCAGTTGTTCATTGTGCACTCAAACCAGTGAACTACTATATGTATAAATGAGCTGAGGTGCTGTCTAATGGAAAATGCGAGTTAACTTATTTGCTTAGAGTAATAAAAACATTTTGTGCATTCAATTTCATAATAGCTTTTATCTGATCTTTCATTATAAAAGATGTATATTTTTTCATATATATAAAATATATACATACAAAATACATGAGGCCATAAAATGGGCAATAATCTAAATAAAAATTATGTTGGTAGCTAAGCTGCATTAAATAGCTAACAGAAATAGCAGTGATCAAAAGACTGAGACTCAGATTGCAATCCAAACTTTTGCTCTTGTTAATGGAGAATATGATTAGCTACTAAAGATATTTCTCATTGGGTTTTAGAATACTC